ATCACAATAATAGCCACAATAAATAAAATCATAATTTGATCATTTGTTAGCCCTAAAGATTTTACAAGATGTCCACATTTTGTGACATTAAATAATTGTCTTAAAGTGAGATCTGTTTGAACGAGTCATCTCCTGTCACGCGTGTAATCGTATCGATAAATAGTGGAAACTCTTGTAGAAATGTCTTCATTCATATCAGCGATGAAGTAAACGATGTCTTTAATACGAAATACTCCACGAATTACGAGTCCTTTCGCATCGATTTGTTGTATTTTGAATGAATTACTCCAGTTTTGCGGTCTATTACTCAGACTAATACGATATACTGTGGGTCTCATAGTATTATCCATTCCGTTGACAACATATAAAAATTCATATATTTTCGGTATAAATAAGACGGGCAATGGAGTTGACTTAAGCGGGTGGGACCACCCCTTCAAAAACTCATCCAACTGAACACCTTTAGGACTCCACTCCCATGGCATATCTGACCGGTTAGTTACGGGAACTTTGGTCTCGGTGTTTGATGCATGCAATCGATAAAATTGATATTTGATTCAATTATTATTGCCATTATAGAAGAGTTGAAAATATAAATCTTTTAACTTCTGAATACCGCGACAATCATCGGAACACTTGGGACCTACTGTTACGTGAAATGCCGACTATATTTCGTAGCCATTATCACGTGAAACAGGCCAACCCAACGACTCTGTGTATGAGTTGAATAGCCATTTGTATTCAGTGCCCATCAATTGGATGTAGTTTTTAGTGCTATTATTCTGGTCTTTAAAGTCTAGATTAAAGGCTGTCTCCAAATAATTTATTTTACAGAATTTTGAATCACATATAATTTGCTTATAGAGTATAAATTGAATGACAAATGAAAACAAATTTAAAGACATTTTCACACCAGTAAGTTATTGGCAGTAACTAAATTGTTGAAATCACTGATCAGTTATAAAATTTGATGAAAATCAATTTTTCAAATCTATAATTATTTACAATGGTATTGAATATCGCGCTTAGAAATAAATATTATTGAGATTTAAACAATAATGAATAATAATCATTGATTACATCAATTATTTGTAATAAAGTACATTATTTTTATTGATTACTTAATTATAAAGATATACCTGGAAATTACTAAAACACGTGTTTCTCTGTTTACATAATAAATAAATAAAACATTGAATATATTTAACTCTGCGTTCATGTGTTATCTATTGATTGATTGAAGCAAAGTAATTTTAGTTTTAACTGTAAGAATAAGTATAGCATATACCAGTACTTATTCATTATATGACATAGTCAGGGACAATAATTTAACATTATAAATGTGTTTAATGTTTGGAATTTTGGATGTAATTGCTGACAATAAAATTTAACAGATTTTTTTAAAACACATGATTTCAGTAAATCCCTGCTAATTTTATTTTGGATTACATGTTAATGTTCTAACTAGGAGTTAAACAGTATTTATTTTTTATATTACATTTATCTAAAATTAGCATCAGGGATTAACATCTAAATAAATGGTTGTCATGAATTTTAAAAAATAAATTCATAACTTTAAAACTCATATCTGTATGAAATTACCGTAATTATTAAATCAATTGATAAAAATCTATAAGTATTGCAATTTCAATCCAATGTATAAATAACTGGTTTTCACTCTTTTGGTGGTCTCCCTATTTATAAAACATTTTAACATACGAGTGCTCTCTAACCTTCAGTTATCATGATATAATATTATATGAATAAAATATTTTATGAAAAGTTTTTATTTATCATTTTAAAATTGCTAATAAATGTATAAATTAAAGCTAAAATCGGTGTTTTAGTTAACGTTTTTTTGAATACTTTGACTGACTTCCAAATGTAATCAAAATACAATTACTGCTATATTTAGAGTTTACTGTTATATTGTTCAACATGTTTACCATATTGTGAAAAGAATTTTAGTATAAAAATAATTATTTTTAACTCAACTAAGTGGATTAAAAATAATACAAATTATTTCACAACGTTTGATATTTTTATTATGTTGTCTATTTATAAAGTTAAGTGAATTCTTAGAGAATAAGTTAACATTTATTTTTATGCAACATAACAATGTTTGACTAAAATATCAAACAATATTCATGATATTCATCCCAAATATCACATGCAATTCAATAATTGATATAAAAATTGAATGTCAAATAATTTAACCTAATAAATTATATTTAAGACGCCTATTCATTATAATGAATAACAAGTGTACTTTTATATGATGACAAATTAATTCCCAACAAATTCTGACGCGATTCTGTGTTCACTTGTTATTATACACTAGTTATCACTACAAACTCAAGTGAGACGTAAATATTGTGCGAGAATATATATAATATAGTACATCCAGACATTGATCGGTGAAGTTTTCTGGTGGTAGCGGTGATGGTGAGTGCGCACAACCATCTCAGCTCCACTATCATCAGCCACTCGGAGTCACTCCACTCTCACCACTATTTTCATTGTAAATGAGATTTCAGTTCAAAGGTATATAAATACATTAAAAAAGACTCGCAGACAACACGGCCCTGTGATTGCTCAACAAATTTCTCAGTGTTTTTAATGCCAATTAAAAGTGGAGAGACAACCAGTTTTTTATTTGGACGACACAGAGCTATCATTTCTCCATTACCCCCGCGACTGTAATACTAGCGCTCAGAGTCTGAGACTGGGAGCTAAGACATCAAGCGAAAGCCTTTTTCATTAATATATTATATATACGGCTATCATATGATTGAGTAGTAGTTATGCAGAGAATTAAATTTGAGATGAAATTTTTCGCGAGTCATCACATGAATACCGACATTGACTTGAATTTCACTCACTATTTGGATGTATTAGATCATAATTTTCATAATCGATAATTTCTTTTATCGTAATGTTATATTTAATAAGAATAATTTTCGTATTGTTATTATAATTATTGTATGCCTTACATATTTAGCAACTAGTTCTAAATTTATATTCAATTTCGTATCAAACAAAGCAAATAATAATGACTTTATTGAGTGAAATATTGTCGCATAAAAATCGATTCCTAAAAACTATAATACTATTCTTCTCGTTTGTTGTCTTGGTAAGTTTAAATCATGCAAATATATTTTAAAAATTAAAATGCCAATTTCATTATCTTTAAATGTTAATATGTTAATAGTCTAGATAGACCATGTAATAACCATTTTTAAAACATAAATATTTTGATGCTACTGTAGTTTTTATTCCAATAGGACATACAGTAATTTTAAACTAAATGTTAAGAATAATTGTCTTTTTTGTTTTGTTATTAAATATTTTTATATTACTATAGAATTGAGTAGATTTCATAAATGTTATTATATGTAATAATGATGTAATGTTTGTGAACTTCTATTCAATATTCTATTAAAGGAATAATAATAATAATAATAATATAAGGTCTAATGAATAATCTAATGATATTTACTTAAACTAATTTCAACATTGACATTGACTTTAATTTATTTAAGTTTTAATATTTATTTGAGATATATTCAAATGAGTATAATATATTGCATTAATTAAAATGATATAAAATAAGATAATTCTAACGAATTAAAGAAGTAATATTTTTTAATAAAAATATTTAATTATTTATAAATAAAGCCTATTAAACAAAGCACTTTAAATATTTGAGTTGAGAACTTAAACACCCATTATTATAATAATTACTATACCAACTCTTGCAAAATGTTGTAAAATACTTTAAATGATTTGACCATTTAATTAAAAATGTTTTTGAAATATAAAAATCTTTTATTTCAATAAAAGGGCGCAACGATAGCAGTGATCGGTCCGACACTATTGGACTTAAGACAAGCCGTAAACGCGGATTCGCTGCAAATTAGTGTCATATTTCCGATCGGATCCGTTGGTTACCTGTTAGGGTCCATAGCCGGGGGCGTTGTTTACGAGCACTTTGACAGTCAACTATCGATTGCATTCTTTGTCCTAATTATGACCGTTTGTAATGTCGTTATCCCATGGAATCGATCGATCATTAGTCTGTCGGCCACTCAGTTCGTGATGGGTTTGGGAGGTGGAGGTCTGGACACCGCCGGCAATGTGTGGCTGCTGCACATGTGGGGCAAAAAGTCAGCCCCTTTTATGCAAGCTTTACACTTTACGTTTGGCCTAGGTGCTTTCATCGCACCCCTCATCGCAGAACCATTCCTCTCAAACAAGAAGAATATCACCGAAAGCGGCGAAGAAGTGGAAGTACTGGTGGGCACCGCCTTTGAGGATCTCATGATATGGTGTCCCTACACCATAATCGCCGGCTTAGGACTCGCAACTATCATCTCACTCGTGATCATGTATTTCATCAAAAGCAGTGATAAACCGCATCCGAGTATTCAGAACAACGAGTCGTTGATTATAATGACATTAAAGCAAAAAGTGTTGATTTTGTTGATCGCATCCATAATATTCCACTCGTATTGCGGACTCGAGATAGCCTTCGGACGGTTCATGACTACATTCGCTTTCTATAGCGACCTCCACCTCAACAAATCCATCGGCGCTTACATGACGTCCGTCTTTTGGGGCACTTTCACTCTCTGCCGACTCCTCACCATATTTATCGTCGACTCCGTGGGCACTACTGCCATGATTTGGGCCGACATTCTCATTGTGATGACCAGTAATATTGTTCTCATTATATTCGGTAAACACACCGTCTGTCCGATCATATCATAACCATTCACTTACTAAATGTGTTATCAATTTGACCCCAAATACAGGCAATAATTCAGAGTTGGGTCTATGGGTGGGCGTCTCACTCATGGGTATCGGCGCGTCGTCTATATTCCCAACCCTATTGTCATTCATTGAAGAACTCCTTCCGGTGACGAGTCGTATCGGTTCCCTGTTCTTAGTGGTCGCCTGTTTGGGAGAGTTTACGATACCATTCATTGTTGGCTATTATGTGGAGAGATATCCATTGATATTGGTTTACGTGACGACTATCGCGGGTCTAATTTGTTTGATATTTTTCGCGATTCTCTGCTTTGTCTCGAAATACAATAAAAAACTTTACGCCAGACAGCGAGCCATCGAAGAGAAATCCGATAATAATAAGACATAAAGTTTTTTAAAAATAAATTGTCTCAAATTTTATGTAACTGTTTTTTGTTAAACTCGAATGATTTATTATTGAGATTGTGACATGTTTTTCAAATGCATTTGTTATTTATTTATTTTTTAAAAGATTAATATAATATAAATAAAATGAATGTTTTATTTGAAATATTATTTATGATTCACGTATACAAATAGTATAAGAATATTGTGTCATTTTTTTATAAATTCTGTATTCAGTACGTAAACTCAAGTCAAGAATATTTATATAGTTCATTGGTTAGACTGAAGAGCACAGCACTGGTATCATGGCACAGGTATTCGGAACAGCATAGAATAGCACTGAAATATTATATGAATACAGATTTATGATTTGAGACAAGTTTGATATTATTCCTCACATAAAGATTTAATGATACAGAATATAACACAAACCATTCATTTGCAATGATTGATCATTTTTATCAAATACAACAAATTGTTTTTTACATTTTAGAACAAGAATAGTTTAAATCAAAAAATAATATATAATATATTAGCAATATTGTACTGTAGTAACAAATAATAGTACAGTATATTGGAATCAAAATCAAAAATGTTATCAATTGTTATAAACTATTGCAATGTCTTATCAGAGTAGGTTTCTATAGTTATTTATACTATTTCTTAGACAAATGCTAAAACGTATTACAAATATGAGATTACTTCAATTGTAATTTACCATAAACAAAACTGGTGGTTTTATTTAAGTTATTTTTCAAAATAAACACAGTATTAACAAAAGTTTCAATAAATGGAGAAAATAACGAATCGCAGCCTTTATTTTCGGGATTTCATTGAATTTAAAGATTTGGTTACATTGAGTCCACAATTCGTGTCAGCCCTCCATAATCACCGCTATTTCAGCGATGAAATGAAGACAGTTGTCCAGGTCTTACACTTTCTTCTCAATGAATACTGAGTCCTATTAATATGCGATATATTATATGATACAAAATCATAGAAATTATCGACGGATGGCGAGAAAATACTATTTATTTTGGTTTGGTTTACGAGATCCAGGAGTACTTGCGATGAAATAATCCGATTGTTATGGGAATCGGGACAGAAGGAGGCCTCACAACGACTCACCCATTATAACACATCCAACGGGCACATGGAGTTTAGGATACATCCGGATATTCCGTTAGTTTCTTATTATTTATATATGAATTTCTACTTGACTTTTAATAAGAATAGGAAGTTAATAGTATCATGTCTATTATCATACAAGTAGTGAAGTAATAAATTTGTCCAATATTAGTTATAAATATTGTTAATAATTAATAAAACGCTGACTATTTATAGATTACGGGAATGCAATGCACCGATGATCGGGAGTCTATACTACCAAATGATGCGAAAGCCTCGGGGAAAGTGTATTATTATAAACAATGTGCCCAAAGAAGTCTATATGGAAACGGATCGCTTTAAACACATTTTTGAAAAACTTCACTTCAAAGTCAAGCCTTGTTTCGATTGGACGGCTCAACAAATTGAGGAAAATCTACGCAAATCCAGCGAAAAGATGGTAAAGTCGGATGCATTCATCCTAATGATTGTGAGCCACGGCCTGGAGGAGCAAATCCTGGGCTCGGATGCCTGCGAAGGGATCAGAATATTATCCGTCGATCCCAACAATACTGAAGCCCAACGACTAGTAAACACCGATGTTATTGACATTAAGAGAATCGTCGATATATTTTCCGATAAGAATTGTCCGATTCTGCGAAATGTGCCCAAAATATTCTACTTCACGTGCTGTCGAAACTGTAATCAATTCACTTAAGTTATATTGTAGTGTATTTTGAGACTATTTGATGATATTTAAAAATATTTTATGTGAAAGCGTTTGCCAACCAACTGAGTGAACAACAGAAACCTGTGGAGGAGTCCAAGAATTTGGCGAAACCTTTCGTAGAAGTGGTCAGTCATGAGAAGCGATCGTTTCCTAACATGAAGTCATTGGACGAGCAATGGGTTGACGACAATAAAGACACTTTCATCTGCTATTCCTGTGCCGAAGGTGTCTACAGTATCATAGCTTTCAATGGTTTTTACATTAATTTATTTATAATGAAATATTAGGACATAAATCGTATTACGACGAGATGTTGGGGATCACACACTTTGGACAGGCATTGAGTCATACGATTGCTCAGTACGCCTGCGAAGAGACCTTGACATCGATAATGAGCAGGGTTAGCCAATTGATATTTTATATATTAGACGTAACCCTAACACAGAATATTCTTTATTATATGACATACTATGAAAAGACGTGCGATTTTCTGCAGCAGTTCTTTGAGGAAACGGGTTGTTATGCGCCGGAGTTCAGAGGCAAAGGCCTCAGAAGACAACTTTCCTTCAATCCATGAATTTGTCTTTTAGTTCATTGCATTTATAGATAATTTAGATAATTTATATAATGGTTTCATACTATGATATTCAGTTTTATGCAAACAATTAAAATTATTAATATTAAGAACATTAATTAAAATTATTTTATTTAATGTACTGCAAAACTATCATAATATATTTATATAATATAATTTATATATTATATATTGTACAATTTGATAGTTGACTATTAAGTTATAAAGTTGTGTTTATCATGAATTGTATAAACCATTTAAATAATTAATTTTATTTTTGTTGATTCAAATAAATACAGTATTAAGTGAAACATAGATTTTTATTTCAATAAAATTAACATTTATTGGATAAATATTTTATAATAATGCCAAACACGAGTCAAACAAGTAAATAATTAATATTAACACAAAATTAATATCCAATAAAATTAAAAATAAAAATTTAGTGTTTTTACCCATGGTTTCACAACATATTTTGTAAAAAATCATTAAAAAATAAAATTACAGATTTCGTACAAAATATTATATGTCATAAAATATTGGTCTCATGTTTACCATTAGGTTTGAAAAAAAGTTTAAGAGTTAATCTCTTAATCAAAAGTTTTTGACATTAAAACGAATAAAAATATAAAAATCCAAATATATTTGTCAATACATATATATAATAAATGTGGTTCACAATTTTAAAAAATGTATTTCCCACTAAAAAACATTTTTTCCAATTTATTGATAAAATAATATTTTAGACAATATTTTGAGTGCAAATGATTGTCGCACTCGTAATGCAATGCATTTTGAAGGACGAAGAAAATATTATGCTTTCTTACATTTTACTCTATATTTGTCGACAAAATCCTTATTTTATATTACAATCGACGCATCACTTTAAAAATATATGAATGGATTTAAAGTGAAAAATAGTTATTTGAATGCATGTATAGTAAACCCTATGTAATATTGACTATAATAAAAAGATTAGGCAAACTATCGCACAATAGGTTTGTTCATTCAAATGAAGCAATTTATTGATTAAATTATTTTGGTGTTAGTATTTCAACGCATTTTATTTTAAATTAAAAAGTTTATTTTTGGAAAAAGAGATTTGTGATTGCCTTAAGAATCGAGAATAGATGTCAAAACTTATTGATTGTCTGAAAATACAGGTACAATATTATGTAAATCTAATGTTAAATTGCTTTTCCTTATGTTTTGTGTACTTTATATAAGAAAATAGTGATTTCGCAACTAATTATATACTTTTTGAATCCATGCTCTACTGAACATTACTTTTACAAAACTTTTTACAATAAAACGTGCTAAATTATAGATGTAGGTTTTCGTAGCATTTCTATAAAAATTGAATTGAAAATAACAATAAATTCAAAGAAACCTTTCATATTTTATTATGAAATTCTTATATACTGTAGGTATAAAGGCTAATATTTTTAAAATCAAATAAATGTGATTGAACTGAAACTCTTTAAGTGGTCATTAGCAATCATTTTCGTTATGTTCTATGTAGTAAATAATAATATTTTATATTTGTTATTTTTCAGTTTTATTAAATCTCAAATTAAAAATATTAATAAACAACTTTATATAATTGCTAAATATAAAAATATGAATAAATGGTATTTTATGATTAGCTCAATTTAATAGTAATTATAATAATAATAATTTAGTAAAATTCATAATTATTGTTATTACTGTAATTATCAAAGATGTGAATTATTTGCAAAAGTTATTTAACATGAAAACAAACTTTAATTATTTAATATAGCAGATATTGTTTCGTAAAAACATTATTTACAAAAATTGCAATTTACTAATATTGTTTAGCTAAAATATTTTCAAAATTAAACATTTGTTTGCTATCTCAGGGATTAGTGATATAATCCCAGGTCACTGTTAGAGCACATTTAAAGCATAATCGATAAATGTGTTTATGTTGTGCAATATTATTTCTAGCTTGTAAGTTTATTATTAATAAAAAATAAATTTCTGAATATATTAATGCCTTATGACAACAGATTTCGTGAAGCGTTTAATAAAAAATTATTTATAAAAATGGAATAATTTGTGATATAATTTAATAAAAGTATAAGAAAGGAGTTATATTAGCTTGCACACTGTAATATCAAGTAACTGTTCAGTGTTTGGTTTAAACGATGTGTATTTATGACATGAGTATAATTACAGATAACTAATGACTTTTTATAAGGCGAGTCCTGTTTTTGCTGTATATTATCTATTATATTAGCTCTGACTTCTGTATTGAATTAGTTTCTCTCAACACATCAAACAAACATTTGGATCATAATTCAAGGCAACTAATGATTAACTTCTAAAACATTGGATCATTTGATTAGTGGAAATACAATATCTGTCTATAGAGTAAATTTACATCCAAATGTGTTACTAATTCTCGCAAACAGTCTTATACTGTATTTGCAATAATACACACTTTTACAAGAATATCAATCATCTCTTATATCAAGTTTTATCGATAAAACTTATAAAGAGTTATGTTTTGCATTATATTCGCACTAAATCTCTAGAAAATAGCTATTAATCAACGAAAACAAATTGATGGAAATTTAATATATTATTTGTTCAAATGTGTTGAAAAATCGTATTAATACGGATAAACACATTTCTATGAAATGTATGAATGTTTGGGTAGAGTTATACACTATTACTTATACAGTAGTTAACAGCAAAACTCAATTCATGTGAAAATAATATTACAGTGTTTTTGAAGTTACTTCAATAAATGAAGTATACTTTACAATCGTATAAACAAAAATATTTGTTAATACTGTACAAGTATTTGTTTCTCACTAATATTATTAATTATTGAAATTTTCCTGTTAATTAGTGAATTTTATAAATAAAAATTGAATTTTAAAGTATTGTATTTTTTTAAAGGCATCATCCACAAAGTACGTACGCAAAAATTGGACTTAAAATTGACCCCTCCCTCAGGCATGCTTACGTACTTTGTGGATCACGCTAAATAACAAAAATCAAACACGTAATGAAAATATTTATGTACAGTAATATAATGCTGTATGATAAAGAATATTAAAATTTTATTTTTTATCATTTTAATTGATTTTTAGTTTGCAATATATTTAAACAGTAAATTTCATTTTCACTTTCTTATTTGTTTTGTCTGAAAAATAACATCAAAAAATTGGTTCAAAATTTACATAATTATGTCATATATTTTATAAACTTTTCTTTTCGGAAATCTAAGTAAAGTTATAATATAACTATAAAATCGTGAAAAGTATATAATTTGTAAATTAGCAAATTCTTTGTAGTAACGAATGACTTGACAATTCAATTAGCTTGCTTAACTCAATGTACAGTTAATTCAAATTGCATGTTGACCTATTCACACAGGATTTGGTGCTTTATTGAGAATTGTAAGAAAAAGAATTTTGTCTATTTTACAAGTAGACAAATATTTAAAATTAGGCAATGTCATATAATTTGCAGCCTGTGAATGAAACAAAAATGTCCACTTAACCTTCTTTCAATAAAGCTCTAAAGAGCTCTAAATAAATTTTGTGATAATAAACAGGGACTATTCATTTCTTTCATTGATTGTAAGCCTGTGAGAAAAGTTAATTTGTGCCTTATTTTCTGACGACAAATATTATTCAGTATATCTCAAATATATAAATATTAAATCTTTTGTTAGCTATACATGAACTCAAAGAAAATGTCACCTGGTCTATTCTATCGCCTACATAGGATTATTCAATAAATAATTAATTGGATCTTATATTATTGAAAATATTTGTCATGGATTTATGCTGTACAAAATTATATCACTTTCGTATTCTTAGTTCATTTTTGCACTCATGTAGTAGAATATGTTATAAAGTAAGTGAAAATATATTAAAAGTTTTGAACATTTCTTACTTAAACAAAACATTTTAGAGTTATTGTATGGCTTTTTATATAAATTGTACATTTCGCAAAAGTACAACAAAAGTCAATATTTTTATTGATTCAACAAAAGAAGCCTATTTTTTATTAATTATGTCAAATATTCATTATCATTGGCACGTTTTACTCGTTTGAAGGTAATATTTGTTAAAAAAAATATTTTTAAGTTATACAAATAAAAAATCAATCTTATGTTTATAAATTTAATTTAATTTTCATAAAAATACAACTTCTTGTTTTATATAATAACATTGCGTTAATTTTTATTTATCGACATCACTTTATTTGATCAGATAATATATCTTGTAACAGACAAATATTAGTCTCAAGATTATTAAATAAGGTTTTTAATTTTTTTGTAATTAACCCCTTAAATCAATTTATAATATAAAACAGATGTTTACATGTTTTTCTTAAAAAGCTTATTACATAATAAATACTATTTACAGAAGTCTTTTAAAATTAATGATTAGAATATTAATAATATATATTTAAAAATAAGATTAAAATTTAAATATTTTATTTTTAAAATATAATATTATAAAACAGATTTATACAAAATTATTAATCTTTTAATAAAAATAAATTACATTAATGTTAACAAACATTAAACAAAATATTTGTTATAAAATCAAAAAACTCAAATTAATTCACAAATCCATTAAAAATATTATTACAACACAAAGAAAATTAATTAAATGTTTTAGTAAAATAAAAATTTCAATTAAATTTATTATTTCCAGATATTCTATGGTTGTTAAAATAACATTATTATTGATACTGCACAAATAGATAATGTAAATATAAATATTACGACAAAAGTATGACATTACGATTGTCACCAATAAAATCATTGAATCTCTCTTATCTTAAGACTATAGAGAAATAGACTAAAAAATTTGAAACATAAATTAATTTCTATCCTTATCATACATTAATAATTCATGGTTTAGATTTGAATGTTACCATAAGAAATACGACCTTATATAACTAATCAATATACAGTAGTCGACTCGACAGTCGCCTTTTTGTGGTTCAAGTCATTTATCATTTTCTAGTAGACATTGGCACTG